CAGAATGTCAACACAATTCAAGTATTTGACACAAATCTTTTATTTTTCCTTCTGTATAAGAAGGGATACGAGAACAGAATGTCAACACAATTTCACCAAAATGTAACGACTGTCATATAACGACAACTGAAAAGAAATCTGAAATCAAACAGTCCTGTTTCTTCTCAGTAGATAGGGGACTATGTATAGCTACTGCAGAGTGTAAATACCTTCCTCTCGCTTCACCAATAGGTTTCCTTACCTCCGTATTGTTTGATAAATCTGGTATGAGTTGGTAAACAGTTTTTGTTACCCACTTGTAGGCGACACCCTTCACGATATTTCCTTGGTGCATCCGTTAATTTTTGACTTCACGTAACAATGTTTGTTTCGTCATCTTTCATTGTGACGTCTTGATTTATGGGATTTTGTTCTGATCGGAAACAGAAATAATGTGCTAATAGCAGAAAACAATGTGTCGGCCCAACATTGTATAGACGTTTTAGAAATCAATGTATCGGCCCAACATTGTAAAGACGTTTTAGAAATCAATGTATCGGCCAAACATTGTATAGACGTTTTAGATATCAATGTATCGGCCCAACATTGTATAGACGTTTTTGATATCAATGTATCGGCCAACATTGTATAGACGTTTTAGAAATCAATGTATCGGCCCTACATTGTATAGACGTTTTAGATATCAATGTATCGGCCCAACATTGTATAGACGTTTTTGATATCAATGTATCGGCCAACATTGTATAGACGTTTTAGAAATCAATGTATCGGCCCAACATTGTATAGACGTTTTAGAAATCAATGTATCGGCCAACATTGTATAGACGTTTTAGAAATCAATGTATCGGCCCAACATTGTATAGACGGTTTAGAAATCAATGTATCGGCCCAACATTGTATAGACGGTTTAGAAATCAATGTATCGACCCAACATTGTATAGACGTTTTAGATATCAATGTATCGGCCCTACATTGTATAGACGTTTTAGATATCAATGTATCGGCCTAACATTGTATAGATGTTTTAGAAATCAATGTATCGGCCAACATTGTATAGACGTTTTAGAAATCAATGTATCGGCCCAACATTGTATAGACGTTTTAGATATCAATGTATCGGCCCAACATTGTATAGACGGTTTAGAAATCAATGTATCGGCCCAACATTGTATAGACGTTTTAGATATCAATGTATCGGCCTAACATTGTATAGATGTTTTAGAAATCAATGTATCGGCCAACATTGTATAGACGTTTTAGAAATCAATGTATCGGCCCAACATTGTATAGACGTTTTAGATATCAATGTATCGGCCCAACATTGTATAGACGGTTTAGAAATCAATGTATCGGCCCAACATTGTATAGACGTTTTAGATATCAATGTATCGGCCTAACATTGTATAGATGTTTTAGAAATCAATGTATCGGCCAACATTGTATAGACGTTTTAGAAATCAATGTATCGGCCAACATTGTATAGACGTTTTAGAAATCAATGTATCGGCCCAACATTGTATAGACGTTTGAGAAAATAATTTGTCCGCTCAATGCAATTACATCCAAGCTTAAAACGAAATTTATTACTCTGTAAAATATGCAACAATGTCGGACTAGCGCTGTAGTTCCCTTATTAAACCGACCATGCTATTATAAATTCATATTTTATTCCAACGTTTCATTATCGGCCCAACGTTGTTCCGTCGTTGCAGAAAGCAATAAATTGGCCGAACGTGCGTGGCACCAACGTTTTAAAATCGCCAACTCTAAACGAAATATATTTACATATGAAATTGTAACATATGCAACTTTGTCAGTCCATGGATAAATTAACGTTTGTTGAACCGACCATGTGATTTAATCTTTATTCAGAAATCGCCTACTGTCGGCCAAGCGTAGGACAAACGTTGTAAACTCGACATTTCAAATTAATGTTGCTGATAAAAAAAAAACATATAACGAGCCAACGTCGGATGAATTTTGGAAATTGAACGAATAGCATATTTGTTATTCGCATGGCATTTGTTGTATTTCAACTGTGGTCAACGTTGACTAAACATTGATATTCTGCGCTTCCAAAAGAAACTGACCAATTGACAGGCTGATATATGTCCTTTGAAGATTGAAGAGGATTACCTTTATGCTTTTGTACGGTTCTTTTGATGTACATGAAATAATCAAGTTATATTACTTGTAGAACTTACAACGTGGCGTGCACAGACTCTCGATTTCGTCATGATTTATTACAGGGATGCAGAGACCGTAAGAGACTGTAACCACTGGAATTTCGAGGATGAGAATGAGATGCTACTGCTTATGTACAAATGTATTGTCCCTGGTTCTCTCTCTCTCTCTCTCTCTCTCTCTCTCTCTCTCTCTCTCTCTCTCTCTCTCTCTCTCTCTCTACCCATAATGTTAATTATATGTAATTTTTTCATATTAATTACATTTTGTAATAAACTATTCAATGCTGAACGAAATTTGTTCTACCTAAAATGAATCTCATTCCATATATTTTCGTCTCTTTTCTTTACGTTTATCGTTTTTTTAACATCTTTCTGAAATAGTGTTGTAAGAAAAACATGAAGCATCTCTTTGATGAGATGAAAGTGCTAAGGACGTGTTGTTGAGATTTCTCCTATTTATATGTGTATGTACCGAACATGATGAGGACTTCATGATATAGTTACATGTGACAGTTTATCAGTAAAATACGGAGATACAGACAGATAAATCAGCTTTTTAAAAAAATACACCATGATGCATACAGAGTTTAGAGGGAGGTCCCTAAATCAATAGGCCGTATTCGTGAAACCGTTTTCATGCTCAAACCCAGATTCTGTGCTCAAGCCCAATATCTTGTTCCAGTGATAAATGTGAAATAATCATTTCGAAGAATTTTTTTGTCTGAAAGTCGTACATCATTTCAATGTTAACATTTGACTTTTCGAGTGTGTCACATTATTTTAGCGAGTAACAGAGTTTGTTTGAGCACAGAATCCATGCTTGAGCATGAGAACGGTTTCGTGAATACGGGCCGAGGTTTCGGTAATATAAGTTCAGTCTCACTTCAATGTATGACATTTCATACATTTTTACGAAGCTATGACATGGTTAAAACGACGGTTACAAAAATATAACATGAACACAAAAATCAAATTTAGGATATTTTATTGATCACGTAATTGTTACTACATAAATTCGCCAGAACAAAACTGACGCATACAAAACGAACAGAACTTTTTATGATAGTAGTTCTACAGAACCTGGTGGTCAGCTTGACTTAATGTAACCTAACTGACCACGACAAACCTCAGATCATAGTGGTCATTGCAGAATCAGTTCATTTTGATAAGCGAAAATACCAAGCACATGTTAAATATAGGAGGGACCACTAGCTGTCAGGATCCGAGAGTGTGAGAACCTTCCGAAAGAATAGCCGCAATCAGCGTTAAACCACTGGTGGTTTGAACTGACCTGTATATAATATATATGTGGCAAATGTCCGCTAAAACACCAATATCGCTTACAAAGAAAGATCAACTATCCAAATGACCAAAACAACAAAAACTGGAAACATCTACGGAGGCCCATTACAGGTCGATACAAAAACGCAAGACATTTTTGGCATGAAAATACTTTCAGTCAAGATGAACTGACTTCAAACTGACCAATGCTACATGGTCAAATTCCGGCTCCACAACTTCTCAAATCACATAATGGCCAATAGAAAAATGTTAGCTACTAACCAATTAAAAAAATCAACACCATCGAAATTGATAAATTGGACCACTGATGGTCAACACTACATATGTAGCTAAGTTCTAAATGGCCAATTCATCAGATATCGGTTTAGTTCTTCAGTAGACCACTATACTAGTGGCCAAGATCCACCGAATACAATTTAATTTAACAAATATGAGGTACACTATATGTAACATTGGTCAAACACCATTCCGATCGGATCAGATCGTGACCCCAAAAGAACCAAGACAATCGAAACGAGACTGGTACGTCAATCATTAAACTTCTATTCCATCACCAACTGCCATCAACATTTAATTTTGTAACTTATAATTTATATTTAAAATTAAAAATGCCCGCCTTATCGACAGCCCACACAATTTCGTTCGATAGTTTGAACAGCGTATTGTCGCGTACTGATTGGCAAACAAAGCAGTACTTTGAAATTTTAACAAACACTTCAATTTTATTCCACAATTCAGTATCAATACAATTGCGTATGATATGTCTATAGGGTGATTTATGTTTATCAATAGAACTCTGAGCTGAAAGTTGGATTTGAAATTGTTTCTATTTTTTCCCGGAACGAATTTCGCGCATGGACAAATACAGTGAACACCTTAATCCGACCTTGCCCTCCACGAGGGAGTTATTTTTGGAAGTTAATTCGAACTTTTCTCTTTGCTCATTTTGTGAAGAATCCAGGCGTGAATTTATTTGTTAATTGTATGGGAACCCTACGTGTTGTCAGAAACTGAGGAACCATGAATGCGAGACGCGTGAAACTGATAGCGTTTGATGTGAGTGATCTTGCGACGGATCACAGGTCTGAAATGTTTATGTGTGCTGTGACTCATATCAGTAGGTCTGTAACATATGTGTCAGTAGGTCTATAGAATATGTGTATTTCAGACATTTGTAACGAACCCCTGTTGATCAGTGCAGTGTAACAGACGATATTTCTGATAAATTGCATGAGCGTTAAAATTGTTTCCATTGCCGGCATTGGTGATTTCAACCGATGTGCATTTTGTACGATATTGCAGACCTTGGTCTTGTTTTCGTTGTAATAAAAGTGTTTTTTATTTTATTTTTTATTTTGTACATAAATTTACAATGACATTGTCAAATCTCACAATGCCCAGCGATATTTCAGCAGCCGTCATGTTTATTTATATTGGATATTGTAGTTCCGGTCAGTGTTGTATTAATACGCTAAGAATTGTGTCTCATGATGCATGGTAATTAAAGTCCCATCAACGACACAGCTTTCATAGAGGCTATATAGTGACAATGCCATGCAAATGTAAATATTCTCCTTTTAGAACGGCGCAACGAATCTGCAATGAAAACATTAAATAACAAGCTGAATTTCATATGGCAAGCCAAGTTGTCATTTATTCATGGAGCAATGTTGATCCAGTACTTAACCAAATTATATAAGATATCTTATATATTATATAAGATATCTTATAAACATAAAAGATATCTTATAATCATATAAAATATCTTATAAACATATAAGATATCTTATTTAAAGTTTATGAGATATCTTTTATAAGATATCTTATATACTTTATAAGATATCTTATAAAAGATATAAGATATCTCATAAACTTTTCTTTATAAGATATCTTATTTATTATATTAGATACCTTATGAAGAAAATTAATTGATATTTTTTTTTTATATAAAGAATGAGACTCTCGCGAGACGGACAAAGAAGAAATGTTTGAAAATAACTGCTCCCGTGGTAAGGTCACATCCGTTTTCGTTGACGATAATTTGGTTAAGTACTGGATCAAAATTGCTCCATGAATAAATGACAACTTGGCTTGCCATACTTTTATGCAAACCTAATGCACAATCTATCCGTTCTCCACTTCAGAATTTGTTGTTATGATTGTAGTAAGAACATCAAGGAAAATTAATTAAAAATATATTCATTATATTAATTATTCAAAATCAAAACAATATTTTCCATTTTTTATTTTTTTTATTTTGGGGAGGAACGTACCTAGCCAGGAAAAGGTAGCCTACATAATGAGGGAAGGGTACCTATACACGAAGTATTATACAAACCAAGCAAAGGACATATTACCTAGGATATAGCACCATCCTAGCGAGGGACATAGTGCTTAGTGAATGACAGTGTTATTAGCGAGGGATATAGCACAGAGTACATGGAGAGGGATATAACACCAATCAAGCGAGGGACATAGAACCTAGTGAATGACAGTGTTATTAGCGAGGGATATAGCACAGAGTACAAGGAGAGGGATATAACATCATCCTAGCGAGGGACATAGTACCGAGTAAATGAAAGTGTAATTAGTGAGAAATATAGTACAGAGTACATAGAGAGATATAGTACAGAGTACATAGAGATGGATAAAACACCAATCAAGCGAGGGACATAGTTCCTAGTGAATGGCAGTGTTATTAGTGAGAGATATAGTACAGAGTACATAGAGAGATATAGTACAGAGTACATAGAGACGGATAAAACACCAATCAAGCGAGGGACATAGCACATAGTGAATGGCAGTGTTATTAGCGAGAGATATAGTACAGAGTACATAGAGAGAAATATAACACCAATCAAGCGAGGGACGTAGTACCTAGTGAATGGCAGTGTTATTACAATCAAGCGAGGGACATAGTACCTCGTGAATGGCAGTGTTATTAGCGAGAGATATAGTACAGAGTATATAGAGAGGGATATAAAACCATCCTAGCGAGGGACATAGTGCTTAGGGAATGACAGTGTTATTAGCGAGGTATATAGTCCAGAGTACATAGAGAGGGATAAAACACAATCATAGCGAGGGACATAGTACCTAGTGAATAACAGTGTTATTAGCGAGGGATATGGAACAGAGTACATAGAGAGGGATATAACCCCATCCTACCGAGGGACATAGTACCTAGTGAATAACAGTGTTATTAGCGAGGGATATGGAACAGAGTACATAGAGAGGGATAAAACACAATCATAGCGAGGGACATAGTACCTAGTGATTGACAGTGTTATTAGCGAGGGATATGGAACAGAGTACATAGAGAGGGATATAACACCGTCATAGCGAGGGACATAGTACCTAGTGATTGACAGTGTTATTAGCGAGGGATATTGCACAGAGTACATGGAGAGGGATATAACACACATCAAGCGAGGGACATCGTACATAGTGAATGACAGTGTTATTAGCGAGAGATATAGTACAGAGTACATAGAGAGATATAGTACAGAGTACATGGAGGGGGATATAACACACATCAAGCGAGGGACATCGTTCTTAGTCAATGACAGTGTTATTAGCGAGGGATATGGAACAGAGTACATAGAGAGGGATATAACACCAATCAAGAGGGATATAGTACAGTGTACATAGAGAGGGATATAACAACATCCTAGCGAGGGAAATAGTACCTAGTGAATGACAGTGTTAATTAGCGAGGGATATAGCACAGAGTACTTGGAGAGGGATATAACACCAATCAAGCGGGGGACATAGTACCTAGTGAATGACATTGTTATAAGCGAGAGATATAGTACAGAGTACATAGAGACGGATAAAACACCAATCAAGCGAGGGACATGGTACCGAGTGAATGACAGTGTTATTAGCGACGGATCTAGCACAGAGTACATAGAGAGGGATCTAACACCATCCTAGCGAGGGACACAGTACCTAGTGAATGACAGTGTTATAAGCGAGAGATATAGTACAGAGTATATAGAGAGGGATATAAAACCATCCTAGCGAGGGACATAGTTCCTAGTGAATGGCAGTGTTATTAGCGAGGGATATAGAGAGGGATATAACACCAATCAAGAGGGATATAGTACAGTGTACATAGAGAGGGATATAACAACATCCTAGCGAGGGAAATAGTACCTAGTGAATGACAGTGTGATTAGCGAGGGATATAGCAGAGAGTACATAGAGAGGGATATAACCCCATCCTACCGAGGGACATAGTACCTAGTGAATAACAGTGTTATTAGCGAGGGATATGGAACAGAGTACATAGAGAGGGATATAACCCCATCCTACCGAGGGACATAGTACCTAGTGAATGACATTGTTATAAGCGAGAGATATAGTACATAGTACATAGAGAGGGATATAACACCGTCATAGCGAGGGACATAGTACCTAGTGGATGGCAGTGTTATTAGCGAGAGATATAGTACAGAGTATATAGAGAGGGATATAACACCAATCACGCGAGGGACATAGTACCTAGTGAATAACAGTGTTATTAGCGAGGGATATGGAACAGAGTACATAGAGAGGGATAAAACACAATCATAGCGAGGGACATAGTACCTAGTGAATGGCAGTGTTCTTAGCGAGAGATATAGTACAGAGTATATAGAGAGGGATATAAAACCATCCTAGCGAGGGACATAGTACCGAGTAAATGAAAGTGTAATTAGTGAGAAATATAGTACAGAGTACATAGAGAGGAATATAAAACCAATCAAGCGAGGGACATAGTGGATATAGTACAGTGTACATAGAGAGGGATATAACACCGTCATAGCGAGGGACATAGTACCTAGTGAATAACAGTGTTATTAGCGAGGGATATAGTTCAGAGTACATAGAGAGGGATAAAACACAATCATAGCGAGGGACATAGTACCTAGTGATTGACAGTGTTATTAGCGAGGGATATGGAACAGAGTACATAGAGAGGGATATAACCCCATCCTACCGAGGGACATAGTACCTAGTGAATGAGAGTGTTATTAGCGAGGGATATAGGACAGAGTACATAGAGAGGGATATAACACCATCCTAGGGAGGGACATAGTACCTAGTGAATGGCAGTGTTATTACAATCAAGCGAGGGACATAGTACTGAGTGAATGACAGTGTTATTAGCGAGAGATATAGTACAGAGTATATAGAGAGGGATATAAAACCATCCTAGCGAGGGACATAGTACCGAGTAAATGAAAGTGTAATTAGTGAGAAATATAGTACAGAGTACATAGAGACGGATAAAACACCAATCAAGCGAGGGACATGGTACCGAGTGAATGACAGTGTTATTAGTGAGAGATATAGTACAGAGTACATAGAGATGGATAAAACACCAATCAAGCGAGGGACATAGAACCTAGTGAATGACTGTGTTATTAGCGAGGGATATAGCACAGAGTACATGGTGAGGGATATAACACCAATCAAGCGGGGGACATAGTACCTAGTGAATGAGAGTGTTATTAGCGAGGGATATAGTACAGAGTACATGGAGAGGGATATAACACACATCAAGCGAGGGACATCGTACCTAGTGAATGACAGTGTTATTAGCGAGGGATATAGAACAGAGTACATAGAGAGGGATATAACACCAATCAAGCGAGGGACATAGTACCTAGCGAATGGCAGTGTTATTAGCGAGAGATATAGTACTGAGTACATAGAGAGGGATAAAACACCAATCAAGCGAGGGACATAGTACCTCGTGAATGGCAGTGTTATTAGCGAGAGATATAGTACTGAGTACATAGAGAGGGATAAAACACCAATCAAGCGAGGGACATAGTACCTGGTGAATGGCAGTGTTATTAGCGAGAGATATAGTACTGAGTACATAGAGAGGGATAAAACACCAATCAAGCGAGGGACATAGTACCTGGTGAATGGCAGTGTTATTAGCGAGAGATATAGTACTGAGTACATAGAGAGGGATAAAACACCAATCAAGCGAGGGACATAGTACCTGGTGAATGGCAGTGTTATTAGCGAGAGATATAGTACAGAGTATATAGAGAGGGATATAACACCATCCTAGCGAGGGATATAGTACCTAGTGAATGACAGTGTTATTAGAGAGGGATATAGAACAGAGTACATAGAGAGGGATATAACACCATCCTAGCGAGGGACATAGTGCCTAGTGAATGGAAGTGTTATTAGCGAGGGATATAGTACAGAGTACATAGAGAGGAATATAACACCAATCAAGCGAGGGACATAGTACCTGTTGAGAGGCAGAGTACATACCTAACGAGGGACAGGGTACCAGTAGTTGATCTGACGCTGGATGCATACTGGGAACAATACCATATGCTCCTCCTCAAAATGCTGGACGAACTTCCTTTCCCAGTACAGGTCATTCCATGGCAGCTCTTTGGTCAGTACCACTGACAACTCTAGTCCATAGTAAAATAGCATGATGGCGTTTGATCTCTTTGCGAAATTCGCCTTGTCTTTCTTACGAGTACCAGTGGGCTTCCACAAGGATCTCCTTTTGACCTGACACGGGGCAGTACCGCAGTGACGGCAGGGGGAAGGACCTGCACAAAGAAATATTTTTGTTAGGTCAAATTTTCGAAATCAAGGGTTTAAGTTTTTGGCACACAAAGCATTACTTTCTATGCATCTTTAGATTTTATCATAACGGAACCCGGGACTAACAGTTAGCTATCTGACTGGTTCCAGACACCCGAGTCTGACCGATTGCAAGGCTTGTAGAAAGTGATACCCGTACTTCAAAGATTATCAAAGAGTTTCTTTGAAATTAAAGCCTGTTAATTTCACAGTAACACTGTACGTTACCAAATAATTTGCTGTAATATTTAATCAAAACATTGGTTTGAGAACCCAGGTATGCACGATACTGAAATGGTTTCCAAGCTGGCAAACGTGTATCATCCTGAAGGTGGCGCGTTAAGGTAGTTTTACATCACTATGTTAATAGAAATGTACATTAATTTTCGAAAACGTCTTAATTAAAGGTTAAACAGAACACTAGAACTGAAAACTGCTGCTTTATTCAATATTTTAAGCTTCGCTGGTTACTTACGAGCTCTCCATCCTTGGAACATTGACACGGCGGCTGACCATTTCTCTTTGACGATTTTCCCGACCGACGGCGCATAGCCTAACAGCAGGGTAAGAAGCACACACACAGCAGATTGCAGAATACCTCATTTCCGATTCGCTAAAATAAATCAAATCATAACTAGTTTTAGGGAATAGTACAATAACACAACATCCAATGTTCCAGACCCGCAAATTCCTCAGATACCGACACCGGAGAAGAAAACCGTTTTTGCGCTAACTCGATGCAATTTAGGCATAGCCGGCGGCTGATAAAAATTGCGAAATACACAGAGTGAAATCACACGAAACGAAATGCACACGCGTAAAACAAAATAAATAAAATAACTTTATGAGTAGAAGAATCAGATAAGCATCATCACAAGCATAATCTTACTTAATTATTAGTAAAAAATCTGTTGAGGTTTCATAACAGTCATTAACATAAAACAAATGTAATCCTTACCCATGTCAGATCGGTAACCGTTGGACAGACTGTCTCAATTTCACTTGCGGTGAAATAATAAAACAATCGTTTGGCATATCCTGGCTCAGGCTCCACGCTACAGAGTTGAAATTTTAAAGTTAAGAGTAAATATTTCTAAACATTCAATGGCAACACAATCGTAAACTTGAAAAGGTTATTGACGTTATTTTGAGCTCCGCGAGATCTTGGCGTAATGTCAAGTCAAAGAATAACATATAAGATCCAATCTTACCATGTTTGGTCCAAACTTACCACGTAAGGTCCCGATATACAACAGGCCCTTGGTACATGGCGCACATCATTACCAGAAATATCAAGAATAACCTGATATTCATTGTGGTAATCCAAGATTTAAACAAAAGAAGTAAATACCAGGAGAAAGACTGATCATCTCCGCCTTCGCCGATTGCTAAGCAGCAAGTATGTGACGTCACAAGTGGGTATTTCTTTTTTACCGATCATGACGTCATGCTATTGTCTTTTAACTAATAAGTGCAAGCGGTTACACGATGGTGACAATGTGTATGATACCAAAATGTCTTCTGTTATGAGTCCACTGATGTTTCTACCTCCCCTCCACAGGGGCCTGTACCTTGTGACTTTGGGAAAATATCACACACAGAAAGCGAAATTTGGGGGAAATTTCTGCATTGAATTAGGAAAATACAGCAATATCATTTTAGGAAAGGAACCTTTATAAGGCTCCAAATTCATCTTTACAAATATCACTGGAGTCCAACCCAGGACTATAGCGTCAGTGAATGCTTCTAGTAGGAGTCGAATTCGGGACTCATATCGACAGGATAGGTTTACCTTAGGATTCCACTAAAATTCGAAATCAAGACAAGCGACACTTGGGCACGTATTCATGAAACCACTTTTTTTAAATGGAATGGAATATGTGCTTAAACCTGTTTTCCTGTAACTCACCTAAATCATTTCAAACGATCAAGAAGTCCAACTAAACATTGGAAACAATATGCGAACTTCAATTTTTTCCAAATCTTTGACAAAATATGATTTTTTTATATTAATCTATAACCGGAACAAGAAATTAGTCTTGAACTAAAAATCCATGCTTGAGCATGAGAACGTAGTAATATAGTTCTATTAGGAGTTGAAATCTGGACAAGCGACACAGGTCTTGCGCAGTTTGTCGAACCCATGCGCAAATTGAAATTAGAACAGCAGCACATTCGAGTTTCACAAATATATATGCAGTAATCCCCCTTTGACGTGGTCGCCGGTAACGAAAAATCACTCCGGCAAAATGTTTTCGTATCAAGCTGCATTGTACGTGCCAAATGGAACCATGATCAAAATGGAACATACTTGAATTTCTTCATGAGATCCCATAAGAGTTTTAGGATTTTAGGATTCCCACTATGTATTTGAACCGCTCAAACCGCTACTTGACCCATATAATGTACAGAGCAAACAGAATGCACATTTGTTTTTCGACTAGTCAACACCTAGGCTTATACAAATTTTAAGCTTTCCTTAAAACACAAGCGAACATAATTGGGAACCGTCGGCACTTTCCGTAAATGAGTATTTTCTCGTTTACGGAAACTGCCGACGGTTCTCGACTGAAGCGAAAGGTGCAGCATCCTTCATCCGGTATATAGCTATTTGAGAAGGAAGCCTTATCCGGAAAACGTGGAAATGGATCATCTGTATGTCTTCTACTTCTGCTTCTGCCATATAATTGCCTCCTTTACCATGATGAAGATCATTCAATATTTATAACTAAGGCGCGGCAAGCCCAGGAAAATTTTGGGGGACTAGGGACTTAATATTAGATATTTGCATGTACAATTAAAACTATTTTACAGCTGAGACCATGGTCTACAATGATACAATCCTGGCTTTAAAGGCTTCGGGTGTGTCTATATCCACGATGTCTGGTATAAAGGCATTCCAGTCACGCACTGTCCTTGGAAAGAAGGACATTTTCCTTGTGTCAATGCGTGAGGACAGGAGTTGGTATGATCGGTTGTGATGCTGTCTTCCCGATTGTCTTGTAGGTTTTATCAGGCGGTTTTGTTTGCTGATGGCGACTAACTCTCTATCAATTTTATACATCATTGTTAGTCGTGCATCTTTCCTTCTGTCTGAAAGATTATTCCATTTTAGTTTTTCTAGTATCGATGACAATTGCTCTAAGTCTGTGTTTGTTTGCTACATATCTAGCTGCCCTCCTCTGGACAGACTCCACTTTAGTTGTGTCGCTGACGGTGTGTTCGCCCAAGCTGAGTTTGTTGGTGAATGTTAAGCCTAGGTATTTGGCTGATGTGATTGCGTCTAGGATATGGTCGTGTAGGGTTTAACTGTAGTTAATGGGTTTCTTCTTGTTGGTAACTGTCAGGACGGTACATTTTTCAGGGTGGAATTTCATGCACGAATCCTCTTCCCATTGACCCAGCTTGTTTAGGTCTTCTTGTAGTGTTTCGGCATCACTGTTGTTGGAGATTGTGAGGTATGCTATGGTGTCATCAGCAAATGTCTGACTGTTGATGATAGTCTTGACTGTAGATCATTGATGTAGTAGATGAATAGGCTGGGTCCCAGTACAGATCCTTGTGGTACTCCTGAGTCAACGTTGACCTCGTCTGATGAGACACCGTCTATTACCACTGATTTTCCTCCCAATTTGCCAGTTCTTGATCCAGTTGGTGGTTCTTTCTTCTATGCCGTAGTATTTCAGTTAGAGAGTGAGTAAGCTGTGATTCACTTTATCGAAGGCTTTAGCGAAATCTCCGTCTGTTTCCCATCTTGAAGATTTTTTGAGATGTCATCAACAATTTCGATTAATTGGGTTTCACGGGATCGTTTTCGTCTAAATCCGTGTTGTAGAGGATACAGGATGTTGCTATTTTCTCCATGATTCATGATGTTACGGGCTAGTATATGTTCCATTATCTTACAGCAGATAGATGGAAGTGAGATTGGACGGTAATTTTCTGCTTTTGTTTTTGGACCTTTCTTGTAGACAGGTGATACGTTTGCAGTACGCCAGTCGTCTGGGATGTTTCCAGTTAATTTTTGGAATATAAGCTGCAGCAGGGGTGCAATTTAAATGGCAAGTTCTTTCAGGATTCTAGGTGTAATATTGTCTGGTCCTGGTGCTTTATATTGGTTAAACTGCTGAAGAAGATTAGTTATTCCGTTTACTGTGATGTCAAATGGCTCCATTTTTACTTCTTCTTGTGGTCTTGGTTTCATTCGATTAGATGTTACAAATTCTACTTCTGTGAAGGTGTTTTTTTCAAAGAAAGCTGATTGGAATTGCTTGTTTAGTATATTTGATTTACTTTTGGAGTCTGTGAACAGTTTACCGTCGACTTTTAATGATGTTATTCCGACGTTGTCTTTGCGTTTGTGTTTTATGTACGTCCAGAACTTTTTCATGCCAGATCTAGGCTCATCCTCATTTGGAGTAACGATGTTGTCTATGTACTTCGAGTATTCTTGCCTTTGGATTTTTTGAGTATGGTGTTTCAGTCCGGTGACCGTTCTGAAGTCAAACTCTACATAGACAATATCATGGTCTGAGATGCCTGGGAGTGTTTCTGTGGTGATGACTGTGGTCTGTTGGTTAGGACCAAATCTAGGGTGTTTTCTAGTCGTGTAGGTTCCTGGACAATTTGTGTTAATGCGTTGCTATTCATTATATCCAGGAAGTGATTGTGAAGACCGACATATTGGGTATTTGGTTTCAATTTGTTGGATTTCCAGTCCCAACCTGGGAGATTCATATCACCTTCAATTATTAATGTTGCATTTTCGATGGTACATGCCCTAGATACTGAGTCGTCGAGTTGTATTAGGCTTTCTGCATCTGATACATTATGACGGTAATAGGAACCAATATAGATGTCTCCATTTCTTTTTATGATAATTTTAGCCCATACTATTTCACAATTTGTGTCCAACTCGGGTACTAATTCACTGTTGAGCTCCTTCCGGATGGCAAGTAGAACACCTCCACCAGTTTTGTTGTTCCTGTCTTTCCTGTGAAGTACATATTCAGGAGGGCAGATTTCAGAGTCCTTTATTTCCTTGTCTAACCATGTCTCTGATCCAATGATGATATCAGGTCTAGTACTGTCCAGGAGGTTAGATAGTCTGCAAAATTTGGACTTGATTGATTGGAAGTTTAAGTTCAGTATCTTTAAAGGAGTGTTGTTCTTTTGTAGTCCTTTTGTTCTAGTTGGTGTTGATGTATGTACAGGTTTTGTCTCAGGTCTAAGGTCTGGACTATGTGGTGGAATGTCTGAGATACTACTGTATGATTTGTTTGATGATTCCATACTAATATAGTCATGTAGGATGGTGCTATAGTTAGGGTTGTTGCATACAATACAGTGCCAGCTGATGTTTAAATCGGAATCACCAAGTTGATTATATGATTGTGTGTGAACTTCTTGGCAATTTGCGTGGTACCACTGATCGCAGGTCTCACATATGATACCTCTCTGTTCCCAGTCGACAATGTTATTTCAAGTTCCACAGTTATTTTCTCGTTCTGGTCCTGGGTTGATATGGATATCATTTGCATTTGTAATTGTAAGTAATGCCAGATATAATAGGGTTGTGGTGCTGAATAAATTCCCTTTATTGACAGTACATGATAGTCTTGATTTCCTATTCAGCAGTGATTGGACGAGAAATGTTTCAGTATTGATGCTTAGGCTGACTCTTACGAAGATGAAATTTGTCTATGTTGATTTTTTAACCTGTATCCGTTTAAGTTTTAGGCAGTAGATAGTGATGAACAGAAGCAGAGTTGATAATGTTATTTCAATTTTCATGGTTATGGCTTTTTGGATGGTTTGAGTGTATTTAAGTGAAGGTTGTTTCTAAATGTTGGTAACAGTAACTAGTAAAGACTGATAAGATTAAACTCACCTAGACTCTTTACTGCACTGGATTTTACTTCACTCTGGTGTTGCTGCAGAGCCAGTCAAGATGTTATTTTGTCTACGTGTAATGGGGTGATGAAGCTTATACAGAGTGTTTCTTTGTTTGGTTACAGCAGCAAGCATGGACTGATAAGATCAAACTCACCTAAGCTCTTTACTGCTCTGTCTGTTGTTGGTCTAAAACAGGGTCTGTAATTATTTTTCCTTTACATGTAGATGGACTGATTCTGCCTCGATGTTTATGTTGTAGCACTCACTGTAGGTGTCTAGTAGGATGTGTTTGCTGATGGCTAGACTGAGAAGTTTACCGGGATGGACACCGTCTTTTTGATTAATGGAGATGTTGATTGATTTTCTATATTTTCCAGGTTTAAGTTTCCTTGCTCTGAAGTAGTATTTACTGATTCGAATGGATGTTTTTGATAATCTACCGTTGAGTTGGAGTATGGTTATGGAGAGGATGGGGCAGTCAATACATTTTATTTCTGCACCAGGGTGTTTCAGGGTGATGGTTATCGCCCGCTCATATTGTTTAACTATTTCGTTAACTGTTTTGTTACTGGTGTGGCTGAGGCTGATGTATTTTCCTGTTTTGGTAGTAAGGTCGCATGTACCAGTCAACAGGTATAGTATTACGCTGTTGTGTCTTTTGATGGCCTTTTCTATTCGGACTTCAATGAGGTCTACTAGTTCTTTGGTTTTTGCACCAGAGATGCACCATAGTTCTGTCGGAAATTCATTTCTTAAACAAGCATTGCGTATGGTTTATTTACCCTTTACTGTCAGAGACAAGAATTGGGGTTGTATGTCTAAAACCAGAGGAAATGTGTGGTTGTCCGCAATATATTTCTTCAGTTTTGTCTCCTTCATTAATGATTGTTCGTAGGATGGAACCGGAAGTGATTTGGTTGTCAATAACGTACATTAAGTTTTCCGATGTTGGGTCTCAACTGACAAGTTTTTAAAGTACTGGGGTCAAAATGTATGATAATTTGATCGATGAGGTTTTAGGGGGAATAATGGTCAAATGTAGTGTATATAGATGAGGGTTTAAGGGGGAATAATGGTCAAATGTAGCGTATATAGATGAGGGTTTTAGGGGAAATAATGGTCAAATGTAGTGTATATAGATGATATAATCAAAGGATATCGTTGAAATCAGCAGATTTTTTCAGCTGTAGTTTTGAAAGCCGCCATTTTCCTGGGCATGCGCCGTTCTGTCGTCAGTGTTTGGTAAAATTACACGTAAAGTATCTACGAATAATCAACCATTTCACTTTCTTAGTAATTAAACGATGACACATCTTCAACATTTATAATTTCGTCTCGCAAACAATTGATTTACATGTAGTTTATAAATTCGCATAAAAAGTTGGTGAAATAACGAACATATTGATGTTTAATGGAATGCTTAAAAATATCCACGACCATGAATAAGTGTATGATATACAACTCTGTGTTCACTGCATTTTCTATTAAGGGGATACTGTAGTACGTTGTTTTGAGTGGCTATACTGGCGATTAGAACATGACATTTTGTTTGAACTCGAGACCGATAGATAAACCTAACACACCTTAACAAATTATACTACGCTAATATGTATAGAAACATTGTATTACTTTGCTACAGGTAAGTAGTAAAGTATTCTGTGACCTGTGCTGGTGACTTGTCATTCTGCATCGGACTAACCAATCAGAAAGAAGCTTTCAAAAGTCGATCATTTGACCACGCCCATACTGGCGAGTGCTCGATTTGGATTGTTCATGAACATCCCGTTACCAACGTGGATACGATAAATTGGGATTAACATTGACCAAATTCTTACATTTCCATGTCAGTATGCTCTTTGAGGAGATTTGTGCAAAATTCATACGACACATATGAAATGTTTCATTTGATTTCGGATCTTACTAGTTGCCTACACACGGATGGAACGAACGTTTCAGTAATTAAAGAATGAAGGGACAATGAATATTTATTATTTTGGTTAGAAACGGGGCGAGGCTTAAGTGCGATGGGTGGAGCTTAACACGATTGATTATGATTCTATCGCAGATTAGAACATGGTCCGTATCCAATCAAAACACGTGTTGCAAACGAATCGTGTTAGAATGTAAATTGTACGGGGTCAAGTCGGCGATAAATGAACTCGAAAGAAACATTTAATCTCTCTCTCTCTAAAAACAATTAGCCTTCGGCCACAAGCTAACCGAGGCGATACGCAGTTACAACAGCATATTTTATATAAGTAACTTCTGTTTGTTTATGTCTTTTGTAATGTATTATTGTTTCATGGTGACTGTTTTTCTGTTTTATGTTGTGATTTGTAAATTTTCATTGTTCCTGTCTGATAAAGGTGCAGATTGCCCTGAACATTTGACAAATTTCTTTGTCTGCACTGTGACATAAAGATTGTGTACATTTAATGGAATGGTTTGAATCAAATTATATGAGGGCAAGTCCTGAAAAATTTCAAGCTATATGCTTAGGAAAGAGATCTGTTGATATTTTTAAATCTTTTAATATTGGAAATGTAAAAATTGAGCAAGAAGCTGTAGTTAAACTCATCGGAGTACATTTTGACTCCATGTTAAATTTTGAATTTCACGTCTCCGAACTATGTAAAAAAGCATCACGACAACTAGCTGTTCTGAAGCGCTTAGGCAGTTTTTTGACGAATCAAGGTAGGAGTGTGATATACAACTCTTTTATTGTCTCAAATTTTAATTACTGCCCTCTAGTTTGGCATTTCACCAGTATGAGGAGTGTTAAGAAACTTGAAAAGATACAAGAGCGGGCTCTTCGTTTTATCCACAATGATTATGTCTCCTCTTTTACTAAACTTTTAATATTGTCAAATGCAGATATTTTACATGTAAGAAGACTTAAGGATATGGGATGTGAAGTTTTTAAAATTCTGAACAAACTTTCTCCTGATTACATCCATGATCTTATAAAACTTAAGTCTTCAAATTATAAACTAAGACAGGAGAATTCAGCAGAGGTGCCTAGGGTTAGAACAGTTAAGTTCGGACAAAACATATCTTTCACATTTGAGGCTACTATGGTGTGGAACACTCTCCCAAATGAGTTCCGGAAGGTAGACAACTTTCCGGGTTTCAGGAGAATGATCCACACCTGGAGTGGACCCATCTGTAGCTGTTCAATCTGTCGCACCTCTGCTGACTGACTTTTAACCATTTTAGTGTTAAAATCAGGTTTAGCATTTTTAGGTAAAAAGACTGTGATATAAATTGCTTGGATTAATATAATATTCTATGTATTGAATCAAATTTTACTATTTATGTTACTATTAGTTTTCTCTCTAAATCTTATTCTTCTTTACTACATGAAATGCTGGTTTTCTTAATCCACACTATGTTACTGTATATCATGTCAATTTTTACCCTTTGCTATATTAGCATGTATGTATAATACACTTGTATAGATTACAGATAGTGTTTTAACATTCAGTGTAGAAACACATCGTTCATAAATATGTGTCAAACCTCTGAATTTTATATAAAAAAAACATAATATACATAAGTGTCAAGCCTTGTGATAACATTAAAAAAAATATTGTGCAATTGATTCTAACTTACATGTGATATTACCGTGTATTTATCTGTAATGAAAAAATTGTCTAATATGTTATTTATATTAACTCATTACTACTAATACTATTACATTATGTTATTGTTATTTTATATACTTGTGTTTGTCGCAATAATAGCTCTCAAGAGCTAATGTTCCATGTTGATATGTTTGCGACTCTAAATAAAGCTTCTTGTATCTTGTATCTTGTTGTTGTTATTACTTCTTTGCCCATATATCTATTTAAGCAATACGCATCCAACCAACATTTGTTTGTTCGGATCCAGTGCCAATATTGGATCATCCTGTCGTTATTACTTATGAGACATCAATATATATATAAACAATATATAATCTATTACAGGTTGCGGTACTGGATGGGAGTTATAACAGCGGCCAAACTTTGGAATTCATAAACTGTTCAACGAGCGTGTGTGTCTCTGCGGGTGTGTATATGAATATATGTATAGGCCAGTCACAGACAGGATTGCCTCAGATTGGTCTTGTGTATCTGGTATTACTTTCGTAGAAGTCCAACAACATGCATCTTCGTCAAGACATAAACTTCTTTTGGAAATTTTCACGTAATAAATAATAAAACTGCAGAATCGCAAATATTGTGATTTTAAAGAGTTGTTCATGAACATATTTTTAAAACCCCATTTCAGGCCTCTAAAATTTGAACCTGTGACATGGAATATTTACACTATCATTAAACAAGACACCCCCGCTCTATTCGTATTCAGATCCGGTAACAAAGTCCTGGATGCGGAGCAACTTAAAGATCAGGGATGTCTGAACGCCCCAAAATATTCGCCACCAGGGGTATCCCTTCCCCTGGGATGGATCTACTTCAGGAAGAGTGTGACGTCACAGTATGGCCCCACGCCCGTATCATCAGCCACGAGGAGTTGGAGGAGAGTGTGGTAGGAGTAGATGGGATTCTCTGCCACTATATCAACAAAATTGATGATCACATTCTAGACGCGGCCGGTAAGATGTTATCTGATATTTTGTGATCTCCCGTAAGTGCCTCTCCAGAAAATCGTACCTGTACAGCCCTTTTGAGTGGTGATAAAAATATGCCTTGGCTGTATCTTATACCGTAGGTCAGTATATGTACTTACTACAGTCGATTTGAACTGGTTCTAATATGAAGTTGAAAGATTCCATTGGTTCCGACCTAATTGGTCAGGTTGCTATTTTCCGTGATAAGTTTATATCACACATATAACTATACTGGTATAAGACACCCATGTCAGATATGTGTAATAAAATTCATGTAATATCATGTCACTCAATGTGTATAGTACGGTGCATATATGTCACATAACAAAGTTTGTCACACAAATGAATATTTAAGGATAAATAAACTTGTGAAGGATCACAACTCCGATAGATCGACAGAATAGCACCGGAAATATTATTTGTTATGTAAAATACTTCTACTCCGCTTAACTGTTTATATTTCTGTGACTTTATTCAAGTTTAAAGATTGCACCTCACGTAGATTTTTTACTTGCTGTACAGTTACTGAATTTTGACATTCAGGTCCAAATCTCAAGGTCGTTGCCACGTTTGCTGTTGGATACGATTTAATTGACGTAGAAGCATGTCATAAGCGTAATGTCCGAGTTGGTCACACTCCTAATGTGCTGTCTGATTCCGTGGCCGAACTAGCTGTGGCCCTGATCCTGGCCTCGTCACGTAGACTGAGACAAGGTAACCGTATTAATTGTCAGATAGTTTAGATAACTCACATGGCCGTGACGTCAAAATATTAATGTTCATAGATAGTTTGAATGTCAGCTAGTAACGACACATACAGTTGCTATATATAACGAGCTTGTAAGTGCCAATTTATTCATGTGTTACAAAACGAAAAGATGCAAGTAAGTTTTGGACCATTCGCATCTTAGTTTGAAAATATTAGGAATATTCCCATATAAGTCCCAAACCTACGTTCATATAATTGATAATCAAAAACAGATATTTTTTTAATAAATTCATTTTTATGAATTGTGAAAAGACCAAATGGATGCAAATACCAAAATGCAATTCTTATCAAATCAGACATAAAACGTCAGCAAGTGTTACCATTAGCAACCTGTATGAGATTTCATTAACAGTTGGCAATCTTGAAATAAGTGAAGAAGAAATGGAACCAATTCATCCTATATTCTGCGAATTTAATAGAGCAAAACACACGTATATAAAGCAATAACGAATAATTTGACTTTGTCTAAGCTTGACAATATATAAATTAAAAGAAACGATATATTTCTGTCATATAAATATCTTTTGTTTGTTCTCAAACTGACGATAAGGAGGCGAATTTACTACCTTCTTGGTAGACAACATATGTAGTAGCAAAAGAAAATATGGAAAAATAATGTTGTACTTGAAGGTATGGCTGCCATAACGAATGGCCTTGCAGACGGTAAGTGGGAGAACGGCCTTTATCTCTGTGGGCCTGAGACCAAGGGATCAACCGTAGGGATCGTCGGTCTAGGAAGAATTGGTCTGGCAGTCGCCAGGCGTCTGAAGGGATTTGATGTCGCCAAGTTTCTCTACTATGACGTTAATGAAGTCCCTTGGGCGGCAGAAGTCTCTGCAGAGTTTACATCGTTCGAGAAGCTTTTAACTGAATCAGATTTTGTTGTGGCCTGCTGTTCCAGCAACACTGACAACTGGGGTTTATTTGACAAGGCGGCTTTCAAGAAGATGAAAAGTTCGGCTGTGTTTGTTAACGTCACCCGAGGAGTACTGGTCAATCAGGACGACTTGTACGAAGCCTTGACTACTGGACAGATCTTTGCCGCCGGCTTGGATGCAACAACTCCCGAACCGATTTCCAAGGACCACCCACTGGTCAAACTGGATAATTGTGTCATTTTGCCACACATTGGAAGCTCCACAACTGCCACAAGAAACACCATGTCTATCATGACAGCAAAGAATATATTGGCCGGCATAAAAGGAGAGCCCCTAGTTCAGTGTGTAAAGAATAACGAAAATTAATAAAGAAACATTTTGAGTATGTTTACAGATTGTTTTTGTTTTGTATGCATGATGCACGTTACAAAGTCCATATTTATCCGAGAACCAAATTTTACCAGTTTCTTATTTTTGTTTTGTTTTGTTTTGTTTTGTTATAGTGTAATCCTTTGCTTGCGGTACTCATTTATGAGCCTGACATTTTCAGACTTTATGTTAAAGGATGAAACGAAGGGAAATTAAAACCCGAAAATGATACAAGTCATCCTACAGTTCCATTCCGTAACCCACAACGCTAAATCAAACTGAGGTAGGATAGGATTGTACGCTTTAAAAACCTGCCCGAGTCTGTTTTTTACCTGTAAAGATTCTAAACTATAACCAGCTTGATACTGGCATTCTGACATGAAAAAGATACATGTGTTTTATCTACCTAGTGACAGACAGCCCTAGGCGTTTTAATTCTAAAAACGTCACGTCAGAAAGTGTTAGGGAATAATAATCTATCACTCTTGTGTGATTTCGACAGATAAACTTCAACCCTCGGGATAAGGTTTTCGAAGTTAAGCAGTCGACAAGACTTTGTACTAAACCTCAGAAATCTTGCTTTGTATTGTTATGGTCTACTTCACACTGAACTGACTGATTCTCAACGATCTCAATTATCTGTTATGTTGATAACGACCTTAACTCAATGATCACAACGATCTGTTATGTTTGATAACGACCTTAACTCAACGATCACAACGATCTATTATGTTTGATAACGACCTTAACTCAATGATCACAACGATCTGTTATGTTTGATAACGACCTTAACTCAACGATCACAACGATCTATTATGTTTGATAACGACCTTAACTCAATGATCACAACGATCTGTTATGTTTAAAGCGTGTATGATGCTATGTTAACCAGCGAGAATCACCTTAATATCAAAGCCTGTATGATACTATGTTATCCAGAGATAATCACCTTAATATCAAAGGCTGTATAATACTATGTTAACCAGCGAGAATCACCTTAATATCAAAGCTTGTATGATACTATGTTAAACAGAGATAATCACCTTAATATCAAAGCTTGTATAATACGATGTTAACCTGAGAGAATCACCTTAATATCAAAGCCTGTATGATACTATGTTAACCAGAGAAGATCACCTTAATATTAAAGCGTGTATGATACTATGTTAACCAGAGAGAATCACCTTAATATCAAAGCTTGTATGATAGTATGTTAACCAGAGAGAATCACCTTAATATCAAAGCTTGTATGATACGATGTTAACCTGAGAGAATCACCTTAATATCAAAGCCTGTATGATACTATGTTAACCAGAGAGAATCACCTTAATATCAAAGCCTGTATCATACGATGTTAACCAGAGAGAATCACCTTAATATCAAAGCCTGTATGATACTATGTTAACCAGAGAGAATCACCTTAATATCAAAGCCTGTATGATACCATGATAACCAGAATCACCTTAATATCAAAGCTTGTATGATACCATGTTA